GGCAGAGGAAGCGGGAGGGGGAGCGAGAGCTGGGACGGCTGCAGGGGCCGGAGCAGGAGGAGGCAGGAACCTGTCGACCAAGGTCTGGAGGTGGCCTCCAAGGGCACGGCCCTGCTCCTCCAGTGCCTCCAAACTCCGCTGCTGCAGCTGCAGGTCCTTCCAGACCCAGTGGTCCTGGGTTTGGAGCTGGTGCTCAAGTAGCCGCAGGTGCCGCCAGTGGTTGTCCTCCAGGTTCCTGGTGCGTCTGCTGGCCTGGGTGCAGGTGGCTGTTGCAGGTGGGGTGGTGGGCCCTGCAGTCCCAGGTGCTGCAGCTGTGGTGAAACAAAAGTGGTGGTCAGTTCTCCCTAGGGACACTGTGGGTGAAACCCAGCCCCCCTCTGCAAGGCGAGGTCGGCGTGTGGGGAACGGGCTAGGGCCCCCGCATGGCACCCAGCTGCTGCTCCATGGTGGGCAAGGCCCAGGTGCACGGTCCCTGGGCTCCCTCTCCCCCCACCCCATACACATAAGGGGAGCAAGATGGCACTCACATGTGGAGCCCTCCTCGGCCTCGGATGACACAGCCGATGTGCTCTGTGGGGTGCGTCGGGGATCCTGGGAAGGCTCCCTGCAGGCTCCTGGCTCTCAGCGTCCTCCTCCTCTTCCTCGGTGTCAGGGACGGGTCCCTCTGCCCTGGGGTCGATCACCCCCCAGGGGGCATGGACGGTGTGAGCCCCCAGGATGCGGTCCAGGGACTCAAATTGGGGGCAGGCCTCTGGATCGGCCCCTGGCTGGCAGGCACTGGAGTAGGACTGCCCCAGGTCCTTGACCTTGCAGCGAACCTGCTCCCGTGTCCTCATGTGGCCTCGGGTGGCCAGGCTGGCAGCCATGCGGCTGTAGATGGCCGCATTCCTGTGGCTAGTGCGGAGATCGTGGACGTTGGAGGCTGTGTCCAACCTCGATTAAGTCCACAATCTCCGCACTAGACCAGCTGGGCGCCCACCTCTTGTGGCCCCGGGCAGGCTCCTGTGAACCGCCAGCCTAGTCCTGGGAAGAGGGAGAGGGCTGGGTGGCAGCGGGTGGCCGGCTCAAGCCCTGGTAGGTACAGGGG